CGCAAGATACAAAACAAACTCGCCCAAAGAAGATTTCGTTCGTAGCACCAAGTGTAATAGCTATCCGATCTACTCTAACATGAACCAGGCGACAAAGTAAAAGAGCAGAAAGAGGAGACGGAGCGAGACGTTGAGAATCAGCGACAAGCTGGAAGCGCATATGCATCGCCTGAACCAGAGAAGATTGATGCGAGACAGGCGCTATCGGGTCTGCCGTGGGGTGGCATCTCTATGAGACATATTGTTGAGAAGGGGAAGAGTAAGGAACAGAATTCCCAGCGCAACTCTCGTGAGAGTTCGACACATGATGGCGCGTCTTGTACTGGTTGAGGGAGCCTTTGACCATTGTATGGGACAAGATATCGTATTCATATGTGGTGCTGGTAACTACTGATGCCTACTTATTAAAATCCTGTGTTTTGCTGTCATGTGGTCGTCTTGCTCGTGAAGAGGCTTCTCTACTATCATACATTTTCATGTCCTGCATGGTACATCCTCCCCCATTAAGCGTTGATCTCTCTCATAAGATTGCATGGTGAACTCCACAAGAATCAAGCAATAGCAGCGACCCTCTCTCTGTCCTTCGCCATCTGCTTGGCGGCGCGCTGAAGCTCTTTCCGGAGTTTTCCCTTTGTGCTCTCCATACCCTGGAAGACATCCTCGTAGTCGGTATCGTGTCGCTTGATCAGGGTGCTCAGTACATGCTCGCCATCCTGCGCGTACATCTCAGCGATGTCGTCTACACTAGTCTCGTTGCCGACAATGTGCTGCATAACCCGCTTGGAAGTCCTTATCATCAGTTCATGAAGATCGCGCTGGTGCGGCTGCAGACTCGCCTCCCAGTCCATCTCTTCTGCTTGCGATGTTGGCAGAGGTGGGTCCGTCAATGGCTCGCGTACGGCAGAGGTCGAGCTATGGCTACTAGAAGAGCCTAGGTGTGGCGGGGAGGATTGGAGATGTATTGGCGAAGCGTCGAAGAAGTCATTGTCAGCTTCCTGATTGTCTTCACCGCCACCGATCAGAGTATCGTCCTCGTGATACGCCTGCTCGATAGGCCCGCCATCGTTCAATTGCCGGATCCCTTCGTTGAGCTGTTGCGGTTGGTCCACGATCTGCCGAGTCTCTCCGAGCAAGTTCCTTGTCCTTTCAGTGGCTTCTTGGTCGGCCTGAACAGTTGGCTGAGTAGTATCGATGAACCGCGAGGTGAAAAACAAGGTGGGTACAGTCGTCTTGTTTCCTGCCGCATCTTCGGGTACCTTTCGGGTCGTTGTATTCTCTTTAGATAGCGCTGTGGGCTTTGGGTGTGTGCCAGCCTGCTCGTGATGTCTCTTTGTGTCGTCTTTTTGTTGCACTCCTCCTTGATCTCTCGACTCTTGTGTCTGATGATCTGTTGTGCCCGTATAAGGGCTCGCAACCTTGGGATTTGGGTGCGCCTTGTTCGTATCTCCTTCTGTAAGAGTCGCTTCTTTCCCACCCGAAGGCGTCGTTTGTAGGAATGGTCGACTCGCTGCAATTGAAGGTAAGGCTTCAGTTGCGCTAGAACCCGCGACTAGCAAAGGCCGCTCGTTTGAAACGTCAATCGCAGGGGCTGTGTCCTCGTTCAATGAACCTTCTCCAGTCAGTCGGCGTATGAACGATGTGGCCTTCTTCCCAGCAGATCGTCGGCCAAAGGGGTCGCTTTTCGCGGTCTGCCAATCTCCTGTCTTCTTCTCCGAGGCTATATCCTCACAATCAGCGTGACCAGAGATCGCTGTTGATTCTGCATTTGGTGACGCGGGGGTAGGTTTGCTGTTGCTGGAGAGCATTGCGGTCTCGACAGCAATCGCATGATGCCACTCATCATTCTCTTCGGCCTCATCAGCCACAGGCGGTGAAGATGCCATGTAGTGCAAAGCATCATCTCCAGAACATCTCCGTGCTTCCACAGGGGTTTGGGGCCGCACTGGTACTCCCACAGGCTTTCTACTCGGTTTGGTAGGAGTTGACGGTGTTTGAGCGACTCTTGCAGGTAATGTTGGCTTCTTGAACGGGCTCTCGGAGATATTGGCAGGTCTTTGGAGACCCAGAAGTCCTCCGATCAAGGTGTGTCGTGACGGAGGGACGGATGATGGAGGTTTTGATGGTTTCGCCAGCGGAAGAGTTTTCGCCTGTTGTTTTGCGCCGGTCACAGTCGACTTCGGACCTTTGTTCGGCTCTTTACGGGATCTCTTTCTCGGGTTATCATCGGTCATGGGATCTGGTGTTGCTTTGCGTTTGGGGTTTGTCCTTGTTTTCGGCCTCGTCTGACTTGGTATAAAATCTTCGTCGTCGTCTGCTCCATTCTTGTTATGCAATGTGCGTGCCTTGGTCTTAGTCTTGACTGGCTCCTTGTCCGAGGCAGCCTTTGAGCTTCGTAAATTTCTTCGGGGAGATGAAGCAACACCCGATGTGTCCGAAGAAGTATTGCGGATATTTCTGTTGCTTTCTATAAGCACATCGAGAGCTTCGTCTTCCGAGTTGAGCTTTTTGAAAGTATTTTGTTTGGTGGCCTTAGATACACGGGGTAGCTTTCCCTTGCCGTACGTGCGTTTCGATGTCGACGATGGATGCTGCGACGGGAGTTGCAGGGCTGTCGCACCGCTACTGTCTGCGGTAAGTTTCTTGGAGGTGATGCGCTCTTTGCGAAGCGTCTGGGAGCCACTTCGGAGCGATCTTCTTGCGTTTGACTGTCGGATCGAAGGCGAGCTCGCATCGATAGGCAAGTTTCGAGACACTTTCGAACGAGGCTCACGTTCTTTCTGATGGGCTTTGATACAACTCTCCCACTCTACTGCGTCGCCAGAATGCTTGAACATTAGCGATAGATCAGTCGCAATGCGTTGCGTGGAATTAAGACGGTAGCTCCAGGGCTCAGACGTGAGTGTCATGACGAGATCCCATGGTTCGTGCTCTGTACGCTGAGCCTGTGAGTTGTGTAGTTTCGACGGTTCTGATCGCGTGTTCAGAATGTGCTCGACTGGTATGTCTACAAACTGGCAGTCTTTCAGGTGCTCATCGGGCGCAATGATGGTCAGCACACCAGCCTCAATGATTGCGATAGGAAACGTAGCGCTTGACTCCCGCCATTTGAACCCATCTGTGGCGAATAGTGAGACTAGGTACATGACAGAGGGCTCGCTGGTTGGTCTCGCAAGTGCCAGGTCGCTCAGAATATCGAGAAAGCCCTGGAACTTCTGCATCCATTCGGCATCGGCCTGGAGCGGAAAATTCGGCGCGCTGTGTCCGACTTTTCCCGTGGACCAGAACCTGCTGTACTCGATTCCTTGTTCCAGTGCCTGCCGTATGATGATACCAGCAATAATTTTGATCTGCTCCTGTTCAGTTTCGCTCAGGATGATGGCTCCCAGATTGCGTAGACGCTTAGTCGATGCCCCGATGTGTGTGGCCACCGCCGGCATTTCCAGCATGCCTGCGAGCGCGATGCCGATCCATCGCCGCCGGATTAAAGAAAGACCAGGATCGCAGAAACTAGTCAAATAGTCCTGCGCGACTGAAGAAAGACTCGAGCTGCTGAAGTCGCGTGCAGAGACGAGCTTGTAGAGACGTAAATTGGACGCGTCGTTGTCGGGCAGCTTGAGAGCAGCTTCAAACGAGATTGAAGTCATTGCGATAAAGGAAAGTAGAAGAGAATGGAATTAGCATTTTTCGCCCTACACGAGCAGGATAGCGGAGTGTCGTTGAAGATGTGGACGCGGGCAATGCACCTAAGGAAGTGAGAGCGCGGTACTGCTAGGATGGAAGTCGCGTCCCATCGGCGTTTGACGTCACAGCTGCAGGCGCGCGCGAGTTTCGCGTGGCGGGCTTGAAACCACAAACACCAACCAACAGTCGTTACCTGCACTTTACGTTCAAAAGAAAGCGCTGCGACTAAAGGAAATCGCTGAAGACGACTAAAGGGGGTATAAGGAAATAGGGGGTTTCCAGCTCTTGCGTCCGCTCGTCACGGCTTCCAGTGGCTGTAAGCCGCATCGATGCCTGCATGCATGCGGTGTATGTATCCAACATTACCATACTCACCCAGTACCAATCCCCATGCTTTTCGGTTGAGCATCATCATGATGGCATACAGTTGTGAGATGGAAAGCGATGCAGAGATCCTTGAAAGTGCCGTATTGAAGGGGAGAAAATCCGGAAGAGCGGCTTCTCCTCCACGCGTTACCCCAAGCGAACGCGCTTTGGACACGCAAGGACCGCAGCATAGGGACAGGGCGTCCTACTTCCAAGGTTGTCAAAGCCATGCGGACCTTCTGCAGTCTGGCGCATCGCAATGCAGCAGATCTCGAGCCTGCGGTTCTTACCCCGCTGCAGCCTAGAAGCATGCGTTCCATTGGGACGGATGCAGCCTTCTACAGCTGAGCTCAATCCGTGCGAGCCCTGTATCTGCTGCAGGGGCTTCATCCTTCGCACATATGCTTACGCCCCGAACGTGGCTGGTAGTTTATAGTAAGACGGAGAACGGACAAGTGTCTCGACCTCGACAACATCATGGTTGATAATTACAGTAGCCGGGTTACGGGCGAGATCACACCCCCCGCTGTGCCAATCGTACCGAACATCAGCTCAAATCGGTTACACGTCGTTATCGCTGGACTATGGCTTTGTCTTTTCTTATCTGCCTTGGACACTACCATCGTCACGACCGCGCTCATCAAAATTTCGAGTGATTATGGCGCTCTGGAGCAGGCGGCATGGCTAATTACCGCGTATCTACTTACATATAACTGTAAGACTCATTCGCTCGGGAGTCTGGTCACTAGACTAACGGTGCAGCGTTCTTGATGATCACAGCAAAGCTGAGCGACATTTGGGGCCTCAAGAGTCTCCTCTTACTTTGCGCGTCAATCTTCCTGGTATTCTCCATGGCTTGTGGCGGAGCGCAGACGATGACTCAACTAATCGTGTTCCGCGCCTTCCAAGGCATTGGAGGATCTGGCCTCTACAGCCTGACATTCGTCGCCATCATGAAGATGATTGTCCCTGAGAAGATTGGCTTCTACTCTGGGATCGTAAGCTCAGTATTCGCTTTGGCAAACCTGCTAGGACCTCTACTTGGTGGCATCATCGCTGATCGAACAACTTGGAGATGGATATTCTTCATGAAGTATGCAAAGCGCGGACTATCGAGCTGTGCGAGCTGACTAGCATTAGTGGCCCCATAATCGGTGTCGCAATGGCAATGTTGTTCTTCTCGATGCCTGCATTCGACGACGGTAGAACGAATCTGCAACGCATACGCCATTTGGACATTTATGGTGGCATCATGTCTGTCTGCTGGCCTATACCTCTCATCTACGCCCTTCAGGAAGCCGGTGCGTCGCATGCCTGGGGCAGTGGTGTTATCATCGGACCACTTGTAGCTGGAATCGCTCTCCTGGTACTCTTTGGGTTGTATGAGTATTGGATATCGTCCAGAACGCAGAAAGCCCCCGTCTTTCCTGTACACTTTCTTCGGAATGCATCCATGGCGTTGACTCTGTTGTAAGTCTGGAACACTGCAGTCGGACTCCGCTAACAACGGGACAGAAGTCAGTTTCTCTTAGGATTCGCATTTTACGTTGTCTTCGTCCAGCTGCCACAACGCTTTCAGGGAGTGAACTTTACAAGCGCGGAGCGTGCCGGTATCCTTCTGTTGCCTGCTACCGTTGTGACTCCGATTGGTGCTATGGCGTCTGGACTAGCAGTAAAGAAGGCACCAGTTGAGATCGTTTTGATTGGCTCGACCACGATCGTATGCGTTGGTATTGGACTTCTAAGTAGTTTGCCGACCTACTCTCACCTGTGGCCTGGACTGTACGGTTACGAAATCATTACTGGTCTTGCTTTGGGTCTTGCAAGTCCGCCATATTTCGTGCTTGTCGCTACCTCAATTCCAGAAAAGGACATCGCTGTCGGTACCGGAGCGCTCAACATGGTGCGGACGCTTGGCGGATGTGTCGCCGTCGCCATCTGCTCTGCGATCCATCGCGAGCACTTGAACACAGGGTTGTCCAGTTTTTTGAGTCGCGAGGAAATCAGGGAAATGCAAACTTCGACATCGTTGATTGCTCACTTACCGGATGCGGCGAGGGATCGTGTTGGTGTTGTCTTTGGTAACAGCTGTAAGCCTCAATTCCCTGGAAATATAGCTATACGAGACATACATGCTGATTAGTACCACCGTGCCAGACAATAGGCAATTCCAAGTCATGCTGGCGTTCACAGGACTCAATGTCATCGTCGCGGTCATTTTAGCCATCGTCAGAAAGCGATCCGGGCTATTCGGCCTCATACCTGAAAGGAAAGAAGGGAATGAGTATGTGGAGGCTAAAATCGACCAGAGCGGGCCCGCATCGAGTGGAGCGCTGGCTCAAGATACTTGTGAGAAACAGGCTTCTGAAATCGCGGCTACACACAGACCGGATGATTACGCGGGCGCGTGCCTTGGAAAACGATCATGAACAATTTACGGTATATCCACATTGTTGGTCACGAGACGCTGTGTGGGTACTATCATAGTGGCTCCATGCTGAAGCATTTAGCGATTTCGGCACTACCGCAGTAGGGAAGTCCGGCAGGAAGCACCGAATGGACGGGTATTGAGCCTTGCTTCAGCGCATCAATCCGCGCCTCTCCTTCATGGGATCTACTGACACTCTCCCGCCAGAAGGATTAAGAAGCTGTACATTTTTCTACTTACAGTGTCAAGAAGTGCTTAATTCCGCACGATTATATCCGCATTGCTAGCAGATAAGCACTTGGTGATGTCTAAGCAAGCAACGTCACAAGCGCATGCTTATGTGGAAGCTTAGCCGTCCCCCGCATCTTGACCCCCGCACACGTTGCAACGCCCTTCACGCTTGAAAGCTCGGCATGCGACGCCTCAATGCTCGGCATCGATAATGCTGCGCCGTTGAGATCTGAAACGAATGTGCACATCGTTTGCTTCACAGGATGAGGCGGCATCGAATACGTTCTGTCGACGCTGTATCGTATCTTCTAGACGGCCACTAGCGGGGGATGTGAATAGTGGGCCACATGCGACACGAGCCTCTTCGTCACAACCACAGCTCATTACCGCTGTGAACATGGAAAGATCCAAGGAAATGAGTAAATGCTGAGGATATAGAATCAAAGTTTCAGCATCATCATACAGTCAGTCAGATACTCACATGAACGGCACTTCGCTCCTACTTCTGAACCCCGACTCTCCGCGGGAGAAATTCCCATGGTGAAGCCAGGGATCGGCAAGCGCTAGGGAGTGGATGGTGGGGATTGGATCCTGGAGAAATGCACACCAGTCCCTGCCGTCATCGGAATAAGATCATCATGAGTGGACTAGATGATAGGCGGCTCAATAGCCTCGGGCTGATGATACCCCAGCCGTTTTCTCCAGTGGTTCGACAGTCGGTGACGTTCTTAAGGGACAGCGTCTCGCTCGCTGATCGAGGGGTAATTCCGGACAAGCAAGTTCCCAGTTCCATGGTTGAGATTACTGACTTGTGATTCTTTCGGACCGCGATTTGTTGCTTGACGCTCCTGCGCGAACCATTTCCTGCGCTCTGGGCACTGGAATTCATTAAGAGGCTTGTTTGAGGCTTGACATCTTGCCCAGCTACTAGCTCACGCCCTGTGTCTACGTTAACAACATGGCCTCTGGAGTAGAGCGGCCAATCGATAGGTCGAGCGAGGAAGAGAAGAATATCGGCGAGGAGCATGTTGAGACGGCAAAACATGTCCACACAATCGAGAACCTACCTGATCCCGACGCCGGTCTCAGCGAAGAAGAACGCGCTGCGCATGTAAGCCACATCTCAGCTCCTTGCCATATACATACTAACACCCCAACCCACAGGACAAAGCCCTCCTCCGCAAACTCGACTTCCGACTAATTCCATGGCTCTCCTTCCTCTACTTGATCTCCTTCCTAGATCGCACGAACATTGGCAACGCCAAAGTCGATGGCTTGCAAGAAGATCTCAACATGACTGACGGCCAGTACAATGCCAGTCTAACCATCTTCTTCGTCAGCTACTCCGTCTTTGAGCCGCTGACCAATGTGCTGTTGAAGAAGTTACGCCCGAGTATCTTCTTGCCACTTATCATGATCTGGTGGGGGATTTGTATGACGTGTATGGGGTTAGTGCATAATTATGCTGGTCTTATGACTGCAGTGAGTCTTGCATCTGGTGATCCTATGTTAAGGATTATTTGGCTGACGATGCGTAGCGGTGGTGGCTGGGATGTGCTGAGGCAGGACTATTCCCTGGAGTAAACTACTACCTGAGTTGCTGGTACAAACGTTCCGAGTTCGGCATCCGAGCTGCAATCTTCTTTTCGGCTGCCGCTCTAGCTGGTAGTTTTGGTGGCCTACTCGCCGCTGGAATTGCGCAGATGGGAGGCGTAGGAGGAAAGCCAGGCTGGGCGTGGATCTTTGTAAGTACAACTTGAACGCTTCCTCTTACCTGTGACCATGTTGCTGACAATAACCCCAGATCCTTGAAGGTCTCGCCACCATCTTCGTAGGAATAGCAAGTTACTGGATGGTCCACGACTTCCCCGCCGAAGCCACATTTCTCTCTCCTGACGACCGAGCGCGCGTTCTCCGCCGTCTACGCGCCGATAAACAGGCCTCAGCTGCGCACGAAGAGTTCCAGACCAAGTACTTTTGGCAATCTATCAAGGACTGGAAGACGCTCATGTTCAGCATCATCTACATGGGCGCAGACGGTTCGCTCTATGCCTTCAGTCTCTTCCTGCCCACCATCATAGCTGGGTTGGGCTATAAGTCTACGACAGCGAACCTGCTTTCCGTGCCACCGTATGCAGTTGCAGCTGTGGTGACGGTGGTAGTGGGTTATATTGCTGATCGCACGCAACAAAGGGGTTACTGCAACATGGGAGTCTCGCTGTTTGGTATTGTGGGCTTTGCCATGTTGCTCGGGTCTGCCAGTCCGAACGTTCAGTACGCGGGCACATTTTTGGGAGCTGTGGGTATCTATCGTAAGTGAACTCATTTAGCAGCATGGATCGCTTGGTTCTAACATTCTCCACTAGCAACGATAGCGAACACTATATCCTGGGCCGCCAACAACGTCGAGGGCGTGTACAAGCGTGGCGTCACCCTTGGCTTTGTGATAGGCTGGGGCAACATCAATGGCGTCGTTTCGTCGAACATCTACCGCAGCAGGGATAAGCCGCGCTATTTCCTGGGACATGGTGTGGTTCTGGCGTATCTGACGTTGTGGCTGCTTGGCGGTAGCATTGTGACCCGATTTCTGCTTGCATGGGAGAACAAGAAGAGGAGGCAGGGGGCGCGGGACCACTGGATTGAGGGTAAGAGTGAAAAAGAGATTGAGGAGATGGGGGACCAGCGGCCAGATTTCTTATATACTCTTTAAAATGTAGGATTGGAGCTTAGGCAGAACAGTAGAGCGGACTCTAGGCGTGTCGCAATAGACATGGCACTGTCGAAACTTCTGAACCTTGGCTTGTTGAAGTAAGCTTCCAAACTTCCGACTCATTTTCACTTGGATAGTAAACGCGTAGCTCGATAAAGTGCAGAAATGGTATATTCGACGGCGTGGTTGCTCATGGTATCTGGGAGACAATGTTGCAGCCTCGGAAAGAATCAATAAAGTGCAAGTTCGCAAGCTTTTAGCCCTGCGCCCGTAAGTCGAATACATGCCGTAAGATTAACGCCGCCCAATGCATGTCGTTTTATAAATTGGCCTCTCTCAGGTAAAGGTCAAGTGCTCCAGCTCACGCACCAACCTTGCGAGACTTGACGCTGTTCGCGCGTTCCTTCCTCTCGTTGCGGCGCATCCTCTCCTTCCGGTCTTTCCGATTATCCGCCCTCTGGTCGTGAGCCTCACCGGTCTTGGCTTCCTTCTTCTCGTCAACCTCGACCAGCCAGTCGTTCTCGCCCGCCTTGTTCTTGCCCTTGTAACCCCACTTGGGTACCCAGTCGCCCGTGGCCTCGTCGTAAGCCAGCTTGGTGTCGCGCTTCGTGTTCTTGATGCCCTTCTTCGCAGCGAACTTGTCCCACTTGGTGGGCTCCTTGGCTTCGGGAATAGGCTTCTCGCGGGGGAGGGGTGTTGTCGGCGCGGGGAGCACGAGGTGGACGCCCTCTGAGTTTGACTTGATTTCGCAGGTCGAGAGGAGCTGGTTGATGAGGGCTTGAGCGGCATCGCGGGCAGTGGCAGCGAGGGTGGCTTCGTCGGCGCCGGCGGGGACGGGGTTGGGGTCGTTTGCGAGCAGGTTGCCCAGGTCAAAGGTGAAGGGCGTGGGCTTGTTCACTGTGACGGGTCTGTGTTGAGTCAGCAACGGTGTGGTAGAGGACAAAGCAAGCATGCGACGTACAGTCGGCTGGAGACGGTCGAGTCTGCGACGGAAGGTGCGCCGTTGGACTTGACGTCCATGGCGCCTCCGTTGATTTCGTCGGCGAGCTGGGAATGCGTGGGCGAAGTGCCACCAAGCGCGACGCCGCCGTCCATTTCGGTGTCTGACATTTTGCGAGGGTCGAGTGGTTTGGGTAGAATTTCACTTTGCGCGCCTGCTGCCAAAAGTTCAGAATAAATTTCGAGTCCGTGCACGAGCGGCGGACTCCCGAGGCTGCGACCATCACAGAATTCGTCTCTCGCATCGCCAATTCGCCCATTGCGGAGGGCCAGAGCCTCGACCACACGTCATGCCACCTTCCACATGTCTTCGGAGCTTCTCGCAGCTGTCGCTTGATGCCACCGCCCATGGATGCATTGCACCGCGCGTGCTACGCCCCCAGATAGCCTGCTTTTCCACGTCGTCTGCCCGCTACGCCGTGACAGGACCCAAGAAGAAGGGCATGACCGCCGCCCCCAAGAAGGGTGTCAAGTCTCTGAACACGAAGAAGGGCAGAGGAGCATCGGGAGGTGACTCGGGCAAGCGGCCCGCCCAAGGAGAGCGCAAAGCCCAGCGGAAGCGCATCGTTCTGAGCAACGACAACGCTCTTGAAGTATCTTCGCTGCGGGACCTCACCAAGGACAATGTCCTCAGCGAACAGAATGAGGGCAAGGTCATGGGATTGCCGCAAGAGACTGTAGTAGATGCGCTGCGAGCCGTCGAGGCATTCAAAACAAGCCAAGGATGGGGTCTGTTCCGCCGACCAGCCGTGTTGATGAGGAAAGAGGCGATTGAACTCGCGAGGCTGTTCAACGAGGCCGAGAGCTCCAAGAAGACAATAAGACGGATAGTGTGCGGACAAAGAATGAGCGGGAAGAGCACATTGGTACTTCAAGGCCTTACTATGGGTTTTCTACGGGACTGGTTTGTGATCAACATCCCAGAAGGTATGGACTTTTGTTTCGAGACAGAAACATGCCACTGACAACTCTCAGCCCAGACCCTCGTCAACGCGCATACAGACTATGCGCCTCTTCCCAACTCAGAACCGATGCAATATACTCAAGATACGTACACGGCAAATCTTCTCCAGCAAATCCTCTTGTCCAACGGAGCATTCCTTGCTGCCACAAAACTGAGCACGCAGCCTGAACTGCCTCTGCCGCTACCTGCGGGTGCTACACTGAAAGAGCTGGCGGCGCTTGGTATGGCCAACCCCGAGGCATCATGGCCAGTCTTTGTTGCGTTATGGAATGAACTATCTCTGCCCGGCCGTCCACAAATTCTGCTTGCGCTCGATGGTCTGTCGCATATCATGCGCCACTCCGAGTACATGTCTGCAGAAGTAAAGCCAATTCACGCTCACGATCTGACTCTTGTACGCCACTTCGTCGATCACCTTTCAGGCCAAAGGAAACTACCCAACGGCGGCGTGGTGCTCGGCGCAACATCACGATCAAACGCCCCTACGTCACCAGCGATGGACCACTGCATCGAAGCAGCCGAAGCCCGTCAGAAGTCTGCAGACAAACTGCCAGAATGGAACCCTTACAAGAGCGTAGACGTGCGCGTCATGGAGGCTCTCAAGGATCTCCACAGCGACTCCAAGGGGCTTGACATTATCAATGTCGGTGGGCTGACCAAGGAAGAGGCCCGGTCGATCATGGAGTACTACGCCGAAAGTGGGATGCTACGACACCAAGTCAATGAGGGCTTTGTGGCGGAGAAGTGGAGCCTGGCGGGTATGGGCAACATTGGCGAGCTAGAGAAGGCAAGTGTACGGATGCGGTTGTAGTTGTATTATACTGTGACACGAATTGTAAATCAAGCATGTCAATATCAAGTATCGTTTGGTATTGCTAGTTGTAACGGCATATTCAGACCAACGGCCTTTCCCATGGCCCCTATCCATATGGTCAGATACTTATCTGCTGTTATGACGCTCTCGACACTGGCCTCCATCACATCAGCCGTCTGACATGGATGGATGAAGAACACGGGTCTGTTGGTGAGTGGGTGCTCCTGCGATGGTTAGTTGAATCCACTACATGGGATCGCACTTCTCACAGTAATGGTAATGCCTCCAATGACACCAACATTCTCTGTCTGAGCTTTGAACTGTGGCGGGACCAAGTGCTCGTACAACGTAGTCATGGTCGGCGGGTACCGGTGCTGAGGGTCACGAATGCTGATGTACAAGACGGGCACGCGATAGACATCCGATAGGACGACATCGTAGTCTACAACTGGCTGGGGTGCTACGGCATCGTGGAGAACTTCCTACCTGAACTGAGCTCGTATCGGCAGATCAGGGCCCTGGCGTCACCCACCTCGTCGTCGTCTACTACTTCCTCGTCTTCAATAGCGTCCCGATCATGCACCGCAGGTCGATCTGCGCAGAACGGCAGATGGGTGGTAATGTTGAGATATACGGACCCATTTCGGTGCCTCTTCTCCACGGAAAGCCACTCGTGCTGCGCGCTACCTCGCAGCTGAAAGCATCGCTGCAGCGCATCGCAGGCCTGCTCAAACTCAATTGCATCGAGGAGAGGAAAACCTGAAAGCATGCTTGTGCGTGGTTTCGTTCGGGCTGAGTAATGCAAATGAGGAAGCTGTCATGGGTGGCAGAGGTGTAGCCGGTGCGTCACTCCGGGCCACTTAACAGGGCGGCAGGCTCGCCACGCGCAAATCGGCAGGGGTGCGACGCGACTTCCCCGGCTCCAGGCTTGGCTGCCTGCAACATCGTCCAAGGCTCGAGGGCCTACGGACGTTCAATCTCAGTCCAGCTTAGCGGCCCAGACTCGCCCGCCCTTACTATTCGTTTCCATCGTTCGCAACACTATGCTGCCTATCTAGACAGCCATACCCGCGCCAGCATTGACCCCGTCTCCGTCGCCGTCTCCGTCTCGACTCCACTACTCGCCCTTGTTGTCAAGATGCCGGCCCAGACTGAGAAAAGCCAGCTCAAGCGAAACCGCGTAGGTAGCCGTTGTACTGCCAAGTATGTGACTGGGAGCGGGCGCTGACGCTTCAATTGCTGTAGTACTCGCAGGGCGAAGAGGCCGAACCAAAGCGCACTCGCCACTCGCGCCTGTCGCCGCCTCCCAACGGCCGTCTTAAGCAGGGACCGTTGCCGTCGCCTGTAACCCACAAGGAATCCACCGGAGATGCTTCGGAAGGCTACAAAGAAGGCACACAGAGCCCCCCGCCCAGCAAGCCAAGCCAGGCACGCGGTGGTCTCTCGTCGCCCCCATCCGACACCCAGCCCTTCTCCCAGTTCGTCTACCCGCCCGACAGCCGGACGTACGCCGTAGAAGATGAAGAGGAAGAAGAGGTCTGGGGCTACCTGGTGCCTATGGATGGCCGGGACAAAGACGTGCTAGTACTGCGCCGGCGACAGGCCTGTCCCGTTCCGCAGGGACTCGTTGGCCAGACCGAAGGAACAGAGCGGGTAAGCAAAGAAGAGTACAAAAAGCAGGAGGATAGGTACGAGAGGGAGAAGCAGGAGCGCGGTGTACCAGCAGGTGGCTACCTCATCGGTCGCCACAGAGAGTGCGGTAAGTCGCGGTAATAGTCCCTGCGAAAGAGCGCTTGTCTGACACGTTGCAGATCGAGTCCTCAGTTCACCCACCGTCTCAAACCGGCACTGTCTGCTGTTCACAGAGAAGAAGGGCGGCGATGTTGTCGCTGTACTCGAAGACTTGTCTGGAAACGGAACATTTGTCAACGACATCTTCGTTGGACGGAACAAGCGACGCGAGTTGCGCGAAGGTGACGAGATTGCCATCTTGGACCAAGCCCGCTATGTCTTCAGATACCCGTTGAAGCGCAACACCCACCGATTCCGACAACAATATACCATGCAGGAGCAGTTAGGCAAGGGTCATTTTGCTTCAGTATACCTCTGCGCAGAGAAAGCGACCGGCGTACGGTACGCAGTGAAGAAGTTCGAGAAGCGTTCTGGTCCTGGCGAGAAGTCCAAGGTCGAGGGTCTGCAGCAAGAGATTGCCGTGCTTATGAGTGTTAGCCATCCGGCGCTGCTCTGTCTCAAGGACACATTTGATGAGGATGATGGTGTCTACCTAGTGCTCGAGCTCGCGACTGAGGGCGAGCTGTTCAACTGGATCGTCATGAAACAGAAGTTGACCGAGACGGAGGCACGCAAGGTGTTCGTACAATTATTCCAGTCGGTTAAGTACCTGGTAAGTCCCCAGATATCCTTCTGGTTCAACGCTAACACATAACAGCATGAGCGCAACATTGTACACAGAGATATCAAGCCCGAGAACATCTTGCTCACAGATAAGGATCTGTCGATCAAACTGGCTGATTTTGGTCTTGCCAAAATTATCGGTGAAGAATCTTTCACAACAACACTGTGTGGAACTCCGTCATGTATGTTGTCCTATTTCAAAGTACAACAGTATGCTAATTTTTCCAGACGTTGCGCCCGAAATTCTGGAAAATTCCAACCACCGCCGCTACACCAGAGCTGTCGACGTTTGGTCATTGGGCGTCGTCCTGTACATCTGCCTGTGTGGATTTCCTCCATTCTCAGACGAGCTGTACAGTGAGGACAACCCATACACACTATCGCAACAGATCAAAATGGGCCGCTTCGACTATCCGTCACCGTACTGGGATTCCGTTGGCGACCCTGCGCTGGATCTCATCGACAAGATGCTCACAGTCGATGTTGAGAAACGGATATCGATTGATGAATGCCTGCAGCACCCGTGGACTACGCAAGACAAGATAAGCGTCACCGACAGCACAGACGGTCTTACCGGGGCCATATCCAAGCTCGATTTCTCCAAGCGCAAGATACAACGGGAGCGCACTATGCTTAGTAGCATTAATGATGTTAAGGTCACTCGTGTCATCAACGCCGCTGAAGGCCAAGAGCCTGTCAAAGTTTACGCAAAAAATGGAGTTGAGAACGGTACGAAGATGAACGGCAAGACCCATGGTGCTGCAGAGGTAAGGCCTGCCGATGAGCGAAATCCCAACGAGTTCGTCGAGATGGGCGGTAAAGGCGATCAGACTCTGTACTCGGAAGAGGACGACGGTTCCCGCTATGCAACTGACCAAAGCCTTGCATCCGCACAGAGCAAAGGTCAGGTGAACTGAGATGGAGTGGTATTTCTTTCGAGCGGAGCGTCTGGCGTATTCTGAGGGTTAACGGGTTATGGAGTTCTACGGCAGCACAGGCAGAAGTGTAAAATAGTGGGCTAGGGGCCACTACACGTACTGCGGCCTAGTCATTTTACGGAGCATAGCGTAGTAAAGATGACATTTTGCACCATGACCCACCTGCTCTACAATGCTTCCAGAATGCCCAGAATGCCTACAGTAACTCCAGCCACAAGGCTGTGAAGCAGGATGATGAGCAGTCGACTGCCCAAAGTCGTACCTATACAGAAAGCCCAGAATTGGCCAGCCCAAACTCCACAGAGCCAGAAGAAGAACAAATTGGGAAAGAAAGTGTGTAACAAATGGGGAAAGAAAAAGTATCCAGTCGAGCAAAGAAGACTCGTACCCAATATAGCCAAGAACCACCATTTGTCCTTCTTGAACCAAGTTTTGAGGCCATTCCGAATGCTATGAGTTTTCAGCCCAATGTCGGGATAGGCGTGGAAGACTGCGCCGCCCTGTATCTCTTTGTCAACCCTTTCTTTCAGTTGTTTTTCTCTAAGCACTGAAAGATCAGTGTCCTCGATATCGAGCTCAATCCTCATAGCTGCTGCCAACTTGAGGACTGCGCGATATTCTCCAGAGACTTCCTCGAAATGGCCATTATTGGACGCAATAGTGAAATGTGTATAGATCCACATTATATAAATCCCGATTGTCCATGCGAGCAGCAGTACCATGCTGATGATGAGCTTCAAAAGTGAGAATCCCCATTTATAGTCCTAGACCAAACGCTTAGCATGACACGACAACATCTCAAAGGCCTAGTGACGACCTACCCCCGTGTTCTGGCACTTGCCGTAGAGCTCCATGTACGTGCGATCGAAGGTTTTGTTCCCCCTCACCCAAGTTACGTCTAATGGTTCAGGAGAGTTTTGGCCCCCGAGCCGCTTCGCTTCGCTTTTGTACGCAGTGATATTGAGGACAGGTGGTTCTATGAGCGTGTTCATAAACTGCGACGATTCGTTTTGGGTTCCGCCAAGTCCATGGATTTCGACATCTGTGGCCGCTTAGCAGGTACGCCATATAGATCACGCACGGTCTTACATTGAGAGACATGTGCCACCAAGTTGCACGTAGAGCTGCGGTGACTCGGCGGCGCGGGATCTTCGCAAAAATTGTATGAGTTCAGCACGGGGTCATCTACGGGTCTCAGTCATTGACTGATCATTCTTGGACGGTAATGGAAGGGAACAATATGCTCACATTGACTTTCAATGTCCCTGATCCAGTATTCGCCATTTTCGCCGACTCTCCAGCCATCGTGAATGACATAGACAACCCGCGCATACTTGTTGAAAGGGACAAGGTTATCATCGCCATCTTGGACACGAGATACAACGTTGGAGTCGTAACCACTCATAGCGCTCATGAGTGTAGGGAATGCCAGGATGTATAACATGGTGGCAATCATAAATACCATGGCGGCTTTGGACCGTAATCTGCGCTGTCGAATGAAACTCTTGATAGTCCGGCCCGTTGATATTAGCGATGCATTATTCTCAATGAATATCGTCCGAAATAGCCGATAGCTGACAGGTTTGTCTTCCATGCATATCGTCAGATACCTTGCGAACTCCCGCCACGATACGATCGCCAACAATAATTGACCTCCACGGCCTATGCCCTATCAGTTGTCAGTATCAAATCCCGTGCCTTCAAACTCTGGCCAGCTCACAACGTCCCATATAATATCCACCGCCTTTGCTCCTGCAAACGTCAGGTGTCCTCCACCTAACGTAACTTGGAAAAAGCCAGATGACGACCACATGCTGTAAGTCCTTGGATCTAGACGAAAAGTGCCGTCCACTTGACAAGCCTTGAGGTCCGAACGAAACAGCCACACCGCTCCGATGGCGACTAATAACAGAGTAGCTAAGAGGCCGAAACCCCAGATGAACCCAAAGAACCAGCCAAATCCTCGCAGCCATTGTGTCGATTTGAGGTCTCGCTTGAGATCTCGGAAGGCGGTACGGACGCTTCGAAGGCCGTTGCGGAAGTTCATAACCACGAAATCGATTGGGAGCGACGTCTGGATTGGAAGGGACGATGGTAATTGTCTAACAATAAAGAGTGTGCTACCAGGGCGATAACGACTTTATCTGAAGGTAAAGAGAAGGCTGAGACATAGCCACTGCTGACATGCGTCTACCAGCCGTGGACCCCACGCCTCCCTTCAACCGGCTGCGCTCATCTATGTGCATCGATTGCTCAGCCTTTGACAGCCTGCCAACCTACGAGATACGACGCTAAGCAGAGCAAGAGTATGAGCTTGTCACACCGCCCGCTGCTGCCTCGCATGTTCAACCATCCATGGTTAACGATATGCAGCTGGGGTCTATACGGCGTGTCGGGGACAAAACCTTGGAAACGAAAAATATCAACAACAAAACCAAAGCACAGTAACGTTTATAGACCTGATGGAACAAGAGTCGTAACGGAACAGGCTAGGGATAAGTACACGTACTGCGCATTCGGTCAACGGAGCATACCTAGGTAGCGTAGGAAGTATGGAATTCTACACTGCTATGCTGTCTGCTTCGGGTTGTGGATAAGGTGATGTATCCCTCAGACCAATGACGTGGCACGATGTACGATGAGAGGGTATTTGGTTTGGATGGCCTGTCAGTGGTGCCATCGTGTCTCCTTTGCACGGGTGCGCTAAGATCCGCAAGCCGGTCCCTGCCAAGCTCTCGACACCGCCCACCGCCCGCCAGCCCACCTGCACTCATCCACTCAGACGCCGCGCTGTACGGCTATAGTATGATTGGATAGCCTGGCCCCTGCGCGAGCCTCAACCCGTGGGAAATTTATTGAGGCGCGTCCCCGTCAACAACGCCATTCCCTCACGCCCTTCACTTGTGCAGTTGCTTCTTGTCGCGCAGTATGGGTCTCCTCGCCAATGTCGCCGGCCCCTTGGGCAACTTCACCTCCAACTCGTCGCTCCCCGTCCTCGTCGCCGCCGGCTTCGCCTCCTTTATCCTGGTCGCCGTCGTTCTCAATGTCCTGAAGCAGCTGCTGCTCAAGAAGCCCAATGAGCCGCCCCTCGTGTTCCACTGGCTGCCCGTGATCGGTAGCACCGTCACATATGGCATGGACCCGTATGCGTTCTTCTTCGCCAACCAGAAGAAGGTGTGTAGGAGATGCAATGGCAGGGCTGAACATGACTGACTGGAATTAGTATGGCAATGTCTTCACCTTTATCCTCCTCGGCCGCAAGATGACTGTGTGCCTCGACACTACCGGCAACAACTTCATCCTCAACGGAAAGATCAAGGACGTCAACGCCGAGGAGATCTACTCCCCGCTCTGCACACCGGTCTTTGGCAAGGATGTCGCGTACGACTGCCCCAACTCGAAGCTCATGGAGCAGAAGAAGGTGCGTACGACCCAGTCTCATGCTCGATGCATAGCTAACGCGAAAACAGTTCGTCAAGTTCGGTCTCACCCAAGACGCCCTCCGCTCCTACGTTACCCTCATCACACAAGAATGCGAAGACTTCGTCAAGCGCCACAAGGCTTTCAAGGGACAGAAGGGCACTTTCGACGTTCCCAAGGTCATGGCCGAACTCACCATCTACACCGCCTCTCGTTCGCTCCAGGGCCAGGAGATCCGCAACTCGTTCGACTCCAAGTTCGCTGAGCTATACCACGACCTCGACATGGGCTTCTCACCCATCAACTTCATGCTGTCTTGGGCCCCGCTTCCTCACAACCGCGCACGCGACAACGCGCGTGAGACGATGATCAAGCTATACTCTGAGGTTGTTCGCAAGAGGAGATCGGGCGAGGTTAAGAAGGACTCTCCTGACATGATCTGGCATCTCATGGACTGCAAGTACAAGGACGGCACACCGGTACCCGAGCACGAGATTGCCGGAATTATGATTGCGCTGCTCATGGCTGGTCAACATTCGTCCTCTTCGACCATCTCCTGGATCATACTCCGATTGGCACAAAACCCGCACCTGGTCGAGGAGCTCCTTGCTGAGCAGAAGTCGGCTCTTGGTGAGGACCTCCCACCGCTAACCTACGAAGATCTCCAGAAGCTACCCCTCCATACTCAAGTCGTCAAGGAGACCCTCCGTATCCACGCCCCGATCCACTCTATCATGCGCAAGGTCAAGCAACCTCTTGTCGTCGACGGAACAAACTACGTTGTACCCACCTCCCACACCCTCATGTCCTCGCCTGGTTTCTCAGCTCAGCTCGATACCCACTTTGTCAACCCCTCCGTCTGGGACCCGCACCGCTGGGACGCCGAGCACCAACAATACGACGAGGAGCGTGACGACGCCGACCAGGAGAAGATTGACATTGGTTGGGGTGTTGTGTCCAAGGGAACAAACTCTCCCTACCTGCCCTTTGGCGCTGGAAGGCACCGATGCATCGGCGAGCAATTTGCTTACCTCCAACTGCAGACCATTCTCGTGGCGTTTGTGCGCGAGTTCAAACTCAGGAACGTCGGTGGCAGCAAGGACATTGTCAACACCGACTACTCGAGTTTGTTCTCCAGGCCGTTGGCTCCCGGTGTTGTAGAGTGGGAGAAGAGAGAGAAGGAGTTGTAGACGACTCATAATCCTTCACTGCTCTATGAAGCTTTGCGTTTTTAATGATGGGTGCATGTAGATACAGGCGGTTTTCCTGCTTTCTACGAGCATGAGCGCGCATGAGGTTCTGGGTTCTGTTCCATGCCAACATAGACTTTGGGATTAGTATATTAGTTAATACTTTTGGGTATCTGGGAGGGAAAGATGTAATGAGAATCGAACATAACAGTAACATACATTGACATGAATTTGGTGGCCGTGTTGTAGAGTTTCCATGCCGAATAAGGCCGATCAGGTTCATAGTGCATAGCCGAGGACATGTCATAGCCTTCCGGTAGGTCTACCGGAACCTCTAAAACTGGAGCGCGTCATCTTCCCTAGTCACGCATCCGAATGAGGCTGTCATTTCGCACGTTTTCACATACCTCGGTCTTAATACAGATTCATCCCACTATGTCAAAGTGATAGAAAAGCCTGCATTTGCTAGATCCACGTACCCAAAATCGGTTTCACGCTGAGCTTCAGGAGAACAGAATCAAAGACTATCCAGGACGAGGATAGAGTATCAACAGAAGAGAAGACTAAATGATGGACGACATGCAAAGATTGAGAGTGGATTACCCATGGATTCAAACGCCGCTGGTGGTAGGCGCGCCGATGCGCTTGATCGCTCTAGCGGACATGGCTGTTGAAGTATCGAAAGCCGGTGAGTTGAAGAAGAGACCATCACGCCAACACCTTCTCATGTTCTTGCCGTGGGTAATCTGCTTTACCAAGCGCCTCCATCTTATTTCAAGCTTTACAGCACGCATTAGCACTCCAACATAATCCTAACCAACCCACACAGGAGGAATCGGCTTCATAGGCGCAGGAACAGACGTATCAGATCTAGAATCCCACATGCAGCACGCAAAGAGACTCCTGAACGACACATCCGCCGCACTACCAACGAAAAACGGAACACTTCCCATCGGCATCGGCTTCATAAACTGGGGCGCAGATCTCGAAACGGCCATCCCCATCATCGCGCAACACCGTCCAGCAGCAGTATGGTTCTTCGCGCCTTCATCCACAGCATCTCTCGTGCAATGGGCCGAAGCAAGTAGAACCGCCTCTCCCTCGACGAAGATCTGGGTTCAGATAGGCAGTGTGAAAGATGCTCTGGAAGTGGTTGAACAAATCGGCCCAGATGTCCTCGTCGTCCAAGGTACGGACGCGGGAGGTCATGGTCTCGTCCAAGGCGCAAGTATAATAACCCTCCTCCCTGAAGTCAGCGACGAAATCGACACCCTCCATCACCGAACCCAATGTGTCAAACCCATCCTCCTAGCCGCAGGTGGCATATCCGAACCCCGCACCTTCACCGCATCCCTCACCCTCGGCGCCTCAGGCTGCGTCTTGGGGACGCGTCTACTCGCCACCCCCGAAGCAGCCATAAGCAATGGTTACCGCACCGCCGTGCTACGCACCACCGACGGCGGACAAAGCACCGTGCGCACTAAAGTCTACGATTCCCTGCGCGGCACCAACTGGGCGGAGACGCATAATGCGCGCGGGATTATCACGCAGAGCTATGTGGATGCTGTGGAGAAGGGGATGAGTCAGGAGGAGAATACGCGGTTGTATCGCGAGGAGATGCGGAAGGGGGATGAGGGGTGGAGGGAGGGTGGGGGCAGGATGACGGCGTATGCGGGGAGTGGGGTTGGGTTGGTTAGGGAGGTGAAGGAGGCTGGGGAGGTTGTGAGGGAGGTTAGAGAGGGGGTTGTAGGTGTGTTGGAAGGGGTGGGGAGGAGGGCGAGGTTGTAGAACGTCCTTGCGTGGGGTCCTAAGATGGAGATGCGATTTATCTGGT